CCACCCCCCTCCTCTCCCTACCACCCAACTGAGTCCTGCCTGCTCGGGGCCAGGCCGGACTCTTACTCCCCCCGGCCCGCGCTTACCCTGCGGCTCCCGGGGCTCCCTCCAGCGCTTGTGGAGGAAGGGTTTTTTTTTTTTTTTTGCCACGCCCCCTGTGTCACCCTCCCCCCGCGTCCCGATATTTGACTTGGGTGATCTGGTCACCCTAGATGGGGAGGAGATGGAGCAGTGGGCAAGGGTCATGGGATGGGGAAGATAAAGGGGCAGGGGAAGCGGGAGCTAGGGGAAAGAGGCAGTGGGGAAGGGGCATGGGATGGGGAAGAGAAGGTGATGGGGGGCAGGGGAGAAGCTGGAGCCCAGCATGCGGCATCCCCTTGGCAGAAACTGGGACTCCCCTGTTAAACAGGCCCATCAAACCCTCACCCTGACAAGCCCGACCTCCCCTGCCTCTGTACCACCCCGATGAGCTCCCCCAGACACCTTCCCCACTGAGCCCCAATCACCTACACCTAGACCCCCACCCAAATGAACCCCATCTCCCCTGCACCTAGACCCCCACTCCTGAGCCCCAAACACCTTCACCTGGATCCCCTGAAGAGTCCCATTGCCCCTGCACCTGGAACCCCCCAAATGAGCTTCTGTGCATCCAGCTCTCCCACTGAGCCGCCTGCACCCAGACTGCCCCACAGAGAACTCTCTTACCCCTCTGCACTTGGATCCTGCTCCCGAGCTGAGCCTGCGCACCCACACCTGGTGCACCTGGCACAAGGGGGCTAGGCCCCAGTGTGTTTCTGGGGCAGGCCTGGCCCTTGCACTGTGTTAAGGTAGGGTGCAGCCTCACTGCCGAGTCCCTGTCCCGGTGGAGTGGGGGGAGGCTGCAGGGTGGTCTCGCACCTCCATGCAACCAGGGGCCTGAGTTCCCCACTGCCATGTTGGAGCCTCCACATTTATTTATTAACAAATAAAAGTTGCAGAATTTTAAAACATTGTGTGCACAGTTTTTAATTTTTTGGTGCAGAATCCTCTCAGGAATGAGGGGTGCTGTGCAGCTGTGACGGCGGGAGTGTGAGGAAGGTGGTGGGCAGTGGGGAGGTCTATGGGCGGGGGCCGCTGGGCAAGCAGTGAGGTGTGTAGGGAGCTGTGCCGGTGTGGTGGGAGGTCTCTGGGAGGGGTGGGGGCTGGGCATAGAGATCAGTGGGCGAGGGAGTGCTGGGCAGGGGGGCGGTGTGGTACGGGCCTGCCCTCAAGGGGCAGGGGCAGACTGGCAGCTCAGGGCTGGGCAGGCCTATGTGCGCCTGGCAGCTGCAGGTTTGAGTGTCCTCCTGCTGGTCTGCGCAGAGCGGCTGCTCCCGCCGCGCTGTGCCTCATTGTCCCCAGCCCGCCCTTCACTCTGCAGACTGACCACCCCGCCCCCCTGCACCTTGCCCCATGGGGCCCACAAAAAGTTTATCCGGCCTTGAGGGGTGTGACGACACAAAAAGCTCACCCCACCCCCACCCCACGTACCCAGACCCCACAGCGCACACACCGCACGGGGCACCGGCTCCCCCGGCCCGGCAGCCGCTGGTCTGGGAGGGCCGGGCCGGGGCGGGGCAGGCGGACTACGCCCGGCGAGGCAGAGGCGCAGCGCCGGGGGAGGCTCCCGGAGCGAGGCGCAGCCCACTCCCTCCTCCCCTCTCCGGGGGCTCGGCCCTCAAGCAGCTGCGGGGACGGGAGCGGCTTCTGCATCTGCCCCGCGAGGGCAGGTCCCGCTGCATCGGGCTCACCTGGCAGCGGGGCTCGGCGCTCTCCGCCGCGCGGCTGCTGGGGCCGGCACCAACAACCGGCCCGGCAGCCAGCCAGAGAGAGAGAGACAGACAGCGCCGCAGCCGCCCCACAGCGCCCCCTGCAGCCCTGCCCCCCACAGACAGCGCCTCACCCGCCCCACAGCGCCCCCTGCCCCACACAGACAGCGCCTCACCCGCCCACAGCGCCTCCTGCAGCCCTGCCCCTCACAGACAGCGCCTCAGCCACCCCACAGCGCCCCCTGCAGCCCACAGACAGTCAGCACCTCAGACACTGCACAGAGCCCC